TAATGGGAAAAGTTTGAGAAAATTCCGAAACTTTGGAATTTGACATTGTAGTATTTTGCTCTTTGAATTCCTAATTAGAGCTTCATGAGAGTAATAATGACAAAGGATAGCAAGTGGTCTTTTTTTCAAGATTAGTCATCTAATTCTCCATTATCTCTGAGAATTTAGATATGTTTCCATATAGTAGGATAAGAAAGGGAATGTATAGAAATTATTAAAGACTTGGGTGGTCAGGTGGCATGGTAGTTAAAGGCGCTGGACTCCCACATGGAGATGGTGGTTCGAGTCCCAGACCTGGTGGCTTGCTTTCTCACTTTCTCCCTCTCTCTATCCCTCTCTGGTCAAATTAAAATAAATAAATAAATAAATGAAGTTATATAAAATAATTCTTAAAAAATTATTAAACAGAAGGAAAGATTTCCAAAAATCTTTGGTTACTGACCTTCTAAAAACTAATGTATATTTGAGATATTTTTTCTTTTTTTTTAAAGTTTATTCACTTATTTGGAGAGAGAGAAAGACCAAGCACCCTAACAGGGTCTCACACGATGCCCTCACTTTTCCCAGGTAGCCAGGATCATGGGTGTGCACTCATTGTGCTCAAGTTAACTTGGGGACCAAACCCTAAATTTTTATATGTCCTCTAGCAACACAGAGCATTGTGCCACTGCTGTACCACAGCAGCTGGGCCTGAAATGTATTTGTAAACAATTGATTTATGTGTACAGAAATATTATAGCGGTCACATCCACATGTACCTCTTGCATTCTTCTTTACACGTTATATTTTTGCTGTTATGTGGGTTCGGTTTTCTTGCCTTTTTGTTGAAATAAAAAGGACTCTGGACAATTTCTAGCTGTGGAGACAGCCATCTCTGAAAAAGTTTGATTTTGCCCCTCAGTGTAGCCATATACAAGTTTCAGAGTTTACAGGTTTTTGAGAGCCCAGGTGTTTTATCTATTGACCTTCAGATATGTTGGATGAGAGGGAATACTTTTAAATTGATTCTCCAGTTTCCCAATGCAGTCTCTGTAAATTTAAAGAGCAAAAGAAAAAGAAACAAATCCTGATGAAAAATAACCTGATCATTTGTTAGCAAGGGAAATACTTTAAATAGAGATATAAAATTATTTAACTTTATTTATGTGGTTATTTAAAGACCTGCATATCACAGGGTTTTAGAGAGAGGCCATAAAATGTTAGCCTGTTAATTGGATTGGAGGATATTTGGCCTCCTGTCATTTTTGTCATCAGAACCTTTTCTCTAGTTTTCTTCTAGCATTGAAACTTGGTACAAGTAATTTTCTTTTGTTGTTAAATAAATGTCTTTTTTTTTTTTTGACAGTTTTCTAACCAACTGAGTTTTTATTTGTTGTATAAACCACCTAACATCTTTCAGGTGAAAAAATACATTTGAATAAAGATATTACAAAATGAATTAGAGCCCAATAAAAATTGGCTTTGAGGAGGGAATATAATTCTACTCAATCAAGGCAAACATTTTTATAGACCACAGATTCTTTTTTTTGTTTGTTTGTTTGTTTTGTTTTTTAACACCCATCATGCCATGAATTCATAGGGAATAGGTTCCAGAGGCTCAGGTTCCTTTCCATTGGTTCTCACAAAGTGTGCTTCTCTGGGTGGAGCAGGCTGGCACTTCAGTTGAGCCCAGGTACCTTTCTCTTTGGCTTCTTTCTTTTTCTGGTCATTTTCCTTCACACTAGGAAGCTGTCTTTTCTCTTAGAATGCTTAATATGCTCAATACACACATTGATTCTCTTGGCAAGAATCTTGCCCTTAATTTGTTTGTTCACCACACCAACAGCATGCTGGGTAACATTGTAGGGTCTTCCAGTTTTGCCATGGTAACATTTGTGGGGCATTCCTTTTTGAACAGTACCCATTCCCTTGATATCTACAATATCACCTTTCTTGTAGATTCACATATATGTTGCCAAAGGAACCACTCCATG